GAGTGAAGAATGTTAGATGCAAGTTCATTGAATATGGGCAGAGAAGGGGTAGAGATAGAGATAGAAATAGATAGAAATACCTTTGTCCTTGGCGGGCTCTTCCTCTTCTTCTTCGCCTTCGCCTTCTTCTTCGAACTCCTCTTCTTCTTCGCTACCTTCTTCTTCTTCGCTTTCGCCTACGTCGGAGTCTTCGTATCTAGAGCAGGGGAGCGAATTAGCTTCTTTATTCTCTTGAATGATGTGTGAATGACAATAAGGGAGGAGGATGAGGCTCGATGGCCGCGTGACGATGCAAGAGAGCAGATGCGACGGCACCTGGCGCAGAGCGCAAGCATGCGACGGCTGTAGCGGGATCTGAGAGCGTGCAACAGAGAGATAACAAACTTACTCTTCTTCCTCTTCACTTTCGTCGCTAGGAAGCGCCTGGAGTTCTTCCTCTTCCTCGGCTTCTTGCTTTCTCTTACGGGTGGACATGGTGATTCAGAATGGAAAGTGGCTTATACAGAAGAGAGAGAGGGAAAAGCCGGGTCAATGGCAGAGAGATATGGATGGAAAGGAAGATTTAGAGACCCGGGGGCGTCGGGAATAAGAGAAGAGACTGAGACTATTTGAGAGTGAAAGGAGAGGACAGAAGGATGGGGAAGGGAGGAAAGAGGAAATTATAGAGGGAAATGGCTGAGGAGAAGGTAGGTAGGGCGCAGGGGAGGTCTACCTAGCTACTACGGCTAGAGATTAGGTGGTAGCATAATCCTCAGAACCAGATCCTGCTCCCCAAGGGGGAGGGGAACGGAATGAGCGGCCATTACTTCAGCAGACAGGGAGGGAGGAAGAAGCGAGAGGGGCAACGACAAGAGTTGCCGGTCAGCAATGACAGAAACATGGGCAGAGACCTGCCGTAAGGAGCAGTGCAAGCTGGGGAAAGCTAAGCAGGGACTGTATCAGGAGCAACAGATGGACGCAGAGAGAAGAGAGCTGAAGCTGCGGCTTGTCCTTGGGGACTTTAGAGTATGTGACGACGTCGCCTTTAGGCCCAGACAGTGTGGATAACGCAAAAAGCGACGTCCAACCAATGACTGCTCATCATCAGTGCGTGTCCATTGTGCACCTAGGATGATGCGCTCCGTCAGCTTGGAGTACTTCCCCAGGCGTCCTCGTTTCTTAGCTTTTCTGACTGTGATAGCCTCTGAAGAATAAGCTTGAAAGTGCCCTGTCAGCAAACATATAGACAAAGTCGTCCTCTGTGATATGATTCTGTCTGAGAGAGAATAAATGCAAAAGCTCTTGACAGCGTTGATGAAATAAAGCGATGGCTGGTAGGAGGACAAGGTTTGATGTGGGCATAAGAAAATAGTGCGTGGCTATGTAATAAGCAAAGTATAAGTAAGCAGGAATAATGATGATGTCAGTAAGTGAAACATCTTGCGTACGGTAATTTACAGGTCACAACCGAAATTTCAATCAGCAACAGCTTCTCCGGATCTAACCCGATCTGGAGACTCGCACGGACCATTTGCCCAGGCACAACATATCCCACTGGGGATAAGCGTTTCTGAGTCTGACTGCTTGTGGGTGTCATGCAGGGGGCAGGATTCGGTATTTCCGTGGCACAAGGCCAACAGTCAATAACAACAACAACATTCCCCATCTTGTCAAAATTCGATATTATATATATTCTCTTATTTCAAATATACAACCTGCCTTCCTGGGGTATCAAGAACAAAGGACAGATTTATTGCGCCAGAAATTCAAAATTGGCCATGCTGGGGTCAAGCAGATTCTCGTCTAGCCCAAAGCCATATGTGCCGACCATGTCGTAGATGAGGTCCGGTGGTGGAAATCCCTGGGCCATTGCATTCGCACCGCCTGGTACCTCACCCTCTGGCCGGTCGACAGCTCCTGTACCTCCCACAGGGAGTCCTCCGGCGTTGGCAGGCCGGCCAGCCTGCCACGCAGTTTCCCATGAATCGAACCGCTCTAGCATCTTGCTTAGCCCGCGCGCAATGTGTCTTGTGAGATGTCTTTCGCCAGCGGAGACACAGTTCAACAACTCGATGACTCGCTCCACCAGACGGCGCACCTGGCGGCCGTCGATACTGAGGTAGGCTGAATTCCAGTTCACGGCGACCTTGAGCAGGAAGACCGCGGAAAACGTGACCATAGTATGGGTGAAAATGGGAACACCCACAATGGCATCGCGGATATCCTGTTCCTCCAATACCATATTCAGGCAGGCCATGGCGGATGAAATGGCGATGTTGGCCGATTCTTTCCGGTCCATGGAGAATACTGGGGTATTGGACGGTGACAGCGCGCGTAGAGAAAGCGAATTCAGCTGGAACTTTGCGAAATGGTAATGCAGGACCACTCCTTTTGATGGATACGTCCTTACGTATGGGCTATCGGCTACACCGCGATAATTAGATAGTGCTGTGAGAATGGCGGCGTACTGGCTTACCTGATCGTGGTTGCCAGAGGAGGCGCCATTGATCAACCGCAACGTTGTAAACCCTCAGTTGGCCAAAATCTTCCTCTGTAAGTGCTTGTTCCGTATCGCTTCCAAACATTCGATAGGCTTCCGTGAGGATCATGAACAAGGCTACTTGTGCCAGGAGTCGAATGTCACCAGGGACGATCATTGGTGACTGGAGGAACGTCTCATAATTCTTGATCGAGACATCTTCATGAATGACGGGTGGTCGGCCGTAGGCGATGCTGAAATGATGGTCGCAGACATATAGTAGGTACCATAGTTGTGCACGCTCATATTGATCACTATGACCTCGGATCATCCGCTGGTAGCTCTGGTGGAGACCCAGCTCCGTTGCTATTCGGACAGCATGGCCAGAGAGCTTCCAGCTCAGCTCGGACAGCCAGAAGGCACCGACGCAGAGACCACGGATGTCGTCCAGGGTATGAGCCCGCGTCAGAGACATGCTCGACACGAGGGAGACGTACTCGCTGTAGCATCGATTCAACGTCTCGTTGCGATTGGGAATGTGAAGGGCAGCGACGGTAAGAACAGCCGCAGACAGCAGTGTTGAGGCTCGTCGCACAGAGGTCAGATCTCGATGCACGAGGACGATTCCTCCCCAGAGAAGCTGGTTCATCGTCCGACTGAAGTATGCGAAGAGTTCCTCGGCCTCGTGGAGAGAAATTAGCCCCCGCGATATAAAATCCTCCTCCAGTAGGGTCAGCCTCGGTTTCTCCACAGGATTGTTTCGTAGGTTTCGTAGTTTCGTGACTTCGTAAAGGCTGCGCATAGGGGCCGGCACCAGCTCCGGGCCCTGCAGGTCCGGCTCCTGCGAAGGTTCTCGGGTGACATCCATCACGGCACCCGGCGCATTCTGTCCTTGACTCGGTTGTGAGTTGTCTATTGAAGCACGATTCCCGTTCGCATGCGAAGCAGCCGGGCTGGGTCCGTTCTGAGGGTCGCCTGAAGCATACGTGGAAAGCTCTGGAAGTCCGTTCTGGCGGAGAAGGTCGCGCACGGCCGCTTGGAGCTGGTGAATCGCGGAAGCAGCTTGCGATTTCCATCTTGACAATGAGCCATCAGCATATCGACGAATCTATAAGAAAACCAAAAGATACACGTCAAGAAAACATACATCCCATCGTCATCAACAAACTTCTGCGAGAAGTCATTGACTACACACTTGATGCCGCTGCGCGTGCATTTGGTGCAGCTCGTTTCGCCTGGTTTGAACTCGCATTTGATCTTATGCCGTTTGCACTCCGCACCTGCATGTTCCTAACATCAGCTTGAAGCTCCACCGAGATGTAGAGAATATTTCCGCGATCCTTGCGTCTCTGCATCGTTGCCACGAGGCGCTCAGAAAGCCGAGTCGGGGTCACTCACAAGCACGGGCTTTGGAGACTCTAGGAGGCGGAGGTCGAGCGTCGAGAACGGAGGAACCGCGATCATATCGTCTTGGAGACTCAAGACCGGCATCAGAAGACGATCGCTTGAGATCGGATCGATCCATAATTAATTGGTTGTTTGTTGATTGGGAGGGCTAATCGGGGATGCTCCGGTACTATGCAGGTAATGCAACGAACCGTCGCTGGCTCGCGATTTGGAGCGGTGCGATCAGCTGTCGGAAGTGGAGCGATCTATGGACGTGCCTATGATGATCAATGATATGTGAATTGTTGTCATTCAAATTTGGCATTGACATGAGAGGAGCAGATGGGTTGGATGAGTCGAGAGGTGCGAGTGAAAGGCGTGGGGGATGACAGAAAACGTGGGAGGGACCAAAGCAAGATTTGACCCCGCCCGAATTGGAGTCGAAGTGCCCAACATTGAGAGAAGATGGCTGGCTTTAACCAGCTAGATGGCGTAAATAGAGGTTATGGTGATGAGATCTTATTGATCTCTCGTAAGTTTTCTCTATCTCGGAAATATTCTGATATTCGCCGAACATCCTTCGAATTCGTGGAGAAACTACATTTTCTGGGGTCGAAACCTGGGGTACGGAGATATATTGGAAGGCAGAGTTGGGATATAGAGCAGGAAATAGAGCACTTTTGCAGCCGATCTTCTTCCGAACACGCCCATCATCCATCATCCTAAACGCCATTCTATCGGTGGTCCTTGTGTATCCGCAGAGGCCTATCGATGATTGAACGCTAGTTGATATCTCCAAATGCAAGCCCCGCATACAAGGATGACGCTGTCGTCGCATTCACTTCCCTCGGACTCTCGCCTCACCAGTTTCTCAAGTAGGAAAACTGCTGAATCCATATTTGAAAGCTCCACAAGTGATAGCGACTCAAATCACTGCAGGTTCAAGCTCTCCCTCACTTCAATCAGTCTCAACGACATCACCGGCTCAAGTCCGGCTGCGGAGAAAGAAGAAAATCGCCTCGGACTTGATGCGAATGCGGAGACCCCACTCCACATCCAAATAAGTTGATGCGACAACTCTTCACTAAGTCCATGTTCCTCCGTCTTTCGTTTCGCAAATACCTCATCTTGACTTGATCAAACACTAAGACCCAATATGCAAATCCTCATCACAGGCGCCGCCGGCTTCATCGGCCAATTGCTCGCAAAGGAGCTCCTCAACGACCCCTCCTACCACCTCACATTGACCGATATCCACGAGCCCCCACCCCCAAGAGCGTCAAATACCCTCAAAATGCAAAGACCATCAAAGCCGATCTACTCGCTGGCGCAGCCTCAATAGTAGACAAAAGCCTCGACGCCGTCTTCGCCTTCCACGGCATCATGTCCTCCGGCTCCGAAGCCAACTTCGACCTCGGAATGAGCGTCAACGTCGACGCAACTCGCACCCTCCTCGAGGCCCTCCGCAGAACCTGCCCCGGCGTCCGGTTCATCTACTCATCCAGCCAAGCCGTCTACGGCCGACCGCTCCCCGACGTGGTCGACGACAGCGTCACTCCCACGCCGCAGGGCTCATACGGGGCCGAGAAGCTGATCTGCGAGACTCTGGTCAACGAGTACACAAGGCGCGGCTTTATCACGGGGTTCACGCTCCGGTTTCCCACGATCTCGGTGCGTCCGGGACAACCGACTGCGGCGGCTTCGTCGTTTCTCTCGGGGATGATTCGGGAGCCGTTGGCGGGGAAGGAGTGTGTGATTCCAGTTGAGGATCGGTCGTTCAAGTCCTGGCTCTGTTCGCCGCGGACGCTTGTGCAGAACCTTGTTCTTACGTTGTCGTTGCCGAGTGATGCGTTGCCTCCGCATATCCGGTCGATCAATGTGCCAGGTATCTGTGTCACGGTGCAGGAGATGATGGATGCGCTGGAGAAGGTGGGTGGGAAGGATAAGCTGGCGCTATTGAAGGAGAAGGAGGATCCGACACTTCGGCCGATTCTGGACTCGTGGCCTACGCGATTTAATAATTCTCAGGCTATTGCGCTAGGGTTCAAGCGAGACTCGTCATTTGAGCAGGCGGTTAGAGACTATTACGAGCAGGAGGTATTGGGGAAATGAGAATATTAGTATAACTGGACTTCAACTGCCAATAGACTTGGTACATGTCTGCTAGACCATGGAATTCGATAATACTCCAAATGAAAAGTATGTACGCAGTAAACGATCAGATTATAATGGTTCATTCAAAGGTTATAAGAGCTTCAATCTAGCCGTCCGTCCACGGGTACAGTGGGTCTGGATATCATCCAGGACCATCATTTCCAAACCTAGGAAGATTTCAGTAAATGTAGGATGATGATTAAAAGCTTTCCCAAACCTGTCCATCAATGGCAACCAAGCGGTTGAACAGTTCGTTTCGAGTACTCATCGCTGTAAGCTGATAGGAATCGTGCGGATGCTTCCCAATAATGACCAAGCCATCCACAACTTCCTTGCTGCCGACAGCCCAGCCAGCAACCAATTTTCCCTTCCACCCCATCCCTCCGATCTTGCGCATTTCCTGGATTTCGGTAACCGGTATTGTGAAGAGCACTGTGCCTTTCTTTCTACTAGCCAGTCTGTAATCGCCCTGAATGACAGTCGGGTCTGTCGTGAAGTACAGTAGCGGCGGTTGCTGGGAGGAGTCAATCACCACGGTACCTCGTTTGCCATTGTATCTTGCGTCGAACTCGACAGGACCGTAGGGCAAGGTCTCTAGGCCTTTCTTGCGTAGGATACCGACATGATTCTTGGCATGAATTGATCCTGCTTGGGCGCGGACCCGATCAACGGCGAGCTTGGTCTCGATTCCTGTCGCTGTGGTGCCCTTGAAAAACCCGATTATTCTGGCACCAAGATTCTTCTTCTTAGGCTTTTCGTCTTCGTGAGTATCTTGCTCTGCGTCTTGTTTTGGCTCAGGAGCTGCAGCTCGGTTGATTTCCTCGTCCGTGGCTCCCAAGGTCAGTTGATCGTGGTGGATCGAGGCGGGCCTTGACGGGGCTTTATGTAGAGAGCTTGAAGGGGGCGGCGGTAAGGGGGCGGCATTCGATTCACCAATGCGAAGAAGTGTGAGGGTAAGCTGAGCATTAGTGGGGACTCCTTTCAAGAGGGAACTGATACGTGGTCAGCGGACGGTCTGCCATGTGTCTCTTATGGTCCACACATACTTTTGTAATTCGAGAAGCTTTTGCCAATGTGGGAACTCATGGTTCAAGTAGCTCATGAGACGTTGAAGTACTGGATCCCCAAAAAAGAGAAATCCAAGAAGAAAGGTGCTCAACTTGACGAACACATAGCTTGAAGTCAGTAATGATCCTAGGAATCCGGCCGCGAGCACGCCGGATAGACGAAGGCAAGGGGTTGAGGCCGAGAAAGGTGGTGTTGGTGAGAGAGCACTGCAGCCAGAACGTCAGAACCATGGGGCGTCTACTATGTATCATGAACCCAACGCTTACTTTCCAAATCTCTCGTAAGTATCAATGATATCACTGAGCACCCGCATTGCCAGATTCGCGCCGTTCAGCACCGTCTCCTTCATAGGTTGCCTGGTCTTGTCGTGAGTATCGGCTGGCACTTCTCCACCAGCAGCAGCTTGTGCATCGGCTGTCTTGGACACGATATCCATCGCGTCCGGAACTGAAGATTCCATGGGAGCATCCTCGGGTGTGCCTTGGTCATGTTTGCCGGCAGCACTCCCAACGGCAACAGTGGCAACGCTAGTGATTAAATTACTTGCTTCTTGCTCGGCGGCTTCACCTTTATATTTCTCTGGAGCCCCCGTCACACTGTCATGGGAACCGAGTACTCCCGCCTTGGGTTTCTGCACTCCACCAGTAGATTTATCGACCAAGGCAAGAGGTGCGGGAGGGAACAGGATCTTCCGAGACTGAGGCCAGGCAACCAGAACAAGCATCGTACCAAAAAGTGTGGGAACGAGAAGATCCAAAAGCCAGGCTACGGAGTATACCTGTATATATTGTTTAGTCTTCATGGGCCACTAGCCACAATGTGGGACGAAACGCACTGCGCAAAAGGCTGCTGTTCGCCGAGGCTCTCTCCATGAGCGAAGCCTAGCGATGTGCTTAACAAGACTGGTCAAGCCAATAACCACTATTGTATAGAATCTCTCCAGGGTAGCCCTCAGCTTATCCGGGGAGAAATTCTCATCTTCTGCCCGATTAAGATCCAGCCTCTGTAATGGGGGATTCGGAACAGCTTTGACACAGTAGATTTGCTGCACTTGTCAGCATTTCCTTTCGAGGGCTTGAAAGCAAGTATACCTTATTGAAACGACGGATTAACATCCAAAGATCCTCATTCGACAATCCCGTCACAATCCTCTCCTCAATCTTGTCAGATTCTCCCCAACCAATGTCTGAGACATCGTTGGTGACTCCAGCTTTCTGCGCCAGTCCTTTGGCCTCTTCCTCAGGCTCTACCTGAGAGAGTGCATGGCTGTCAGTTGGCCCAACGTTGTCACCTTGCCTCTTTTCATCATTGTCAGAACTCTTGTCCAGCCCTGCCGATATAGGCTCTGGCGCGCGAAGGGACTCTGGTGCATCAGACATTATTAAAATATTGATCAAACCGAGAAACACATTGCATTCAACGATGGATTAATTTACATCATGGAGGCGCATTTCATTTTTATGTCTGCAACTCTGCGTGTCCTAGGTAGGTCCCCTGTTGCGGGACCATCGACGTCATCCTCTGCAATTATCTTGCTGCTCAACAGCCACTGGTCCCCCCATAGATTCGGATTCCCTTGGTCCGTGTCTAAAGCTTGCAAGCTCATAAGGTACGATGGATAGTCTAGATCAACAGCACTCAACACTGGGTTTTCAGAACCATTAAGAAACCTAAGGCATCAATACTTGCAGCCTGAGGTTCGGCATGAACTCCAAAGATGGAAGGACCCTGTTGGTCACGTGACTGAGTTCGATTGTATCGTGCCACCTACGCCACACAAACAACGCCACACCTCCCTCATCTTGCCAAAAGTGGAAATACACGTGAAACCCAATAAAACGCGTTTATCAGACTCTTTCAACTGAGAGTTCTGGGAAAGCAGCACATCGCTGATTTCTCTGAGTTCATGATGAAAATTCGACGGATGAATCGCTCGTAGACGGAAGGAAGAATGAGTGAGACCTGTGCGAATCCCCTGCTCCTGGGCTGGATCAAAGAATGGCTAGATCAGGCTCGTGAACGGAACAGCAAAGGCGTCACAGTGTCAGTACACTTATTGGACAAATTCCCTCTATTAGCGAAGCTAATGCATTGCCAGATACAAGAAAGCCTATGAGTCGATGAAGGCTTGTCCGCTCGTCTTTCAGCATCCATCCGAGGCGCAACAGCTAAACGGACTTGGGCCGAAGCTATGTGAGCGGTTGACGGAGAAACTGAAGGCGTACTGTGAAGAAAATGGGCTACCAATGCCCGAACACCCTCAGAAGGCGGCAGCGAGCAAAAGAACTTCCGACGAGGGCGTTGACGGTCAGCCAGCGAAGAAACCACGGAAAGCAAAGCCATATGTGCCTTCTCTGCGCTCCGGTCCCTACGCACTACTCTTAGGTCTAGCAACGCTGGATGAGAACGCGTCTCAAGGCTTGACGAAAGCTCAGTTGATCGAGAAGGCTCAGCCACATTGCGACAGTTCTTTCACGGCCCCTCCTGACCCTTCCAAATTTTACACCGCTTGGAACTCGATGAAGACGCTTCTCCAAAAGGAGCTTGTTTACGAGCATGGACGGCCGCTCCGGAAGTATGCGCTAACTGAGGAGGGTTGGGAAGTTGCGAAGAGAATCAAGAAGACTTTGCCCGGGGGAGATTCAAATACGTTGACTTTCAGGCATCAAACAGTAAGGCACGACAGTAAAGGATGAAGAAGCAGAAATTAACATTATTAGGACTCAATGTCAATCGAACAAGGCGCCCCGAGTACACATGTTCAAAGCAAGACAGGTGCCAGTGCTGGCCCGGGGCTTAGTGATAACGACAACGATATCGTTGTTCCGGAATTTCTACGAGACGATGAGAATGACGAAGACATTCAAATACAAGACAACGATCGAGGAAGAGATCTTATTGATAAGATCAGAATTGAACCCATCGCACTTCCTGCCAATAGTTTCACAGTCCAGCTGGTACTGGACACGCGCGAGGTCCGATCATCCAAAGACCGTGACTACATTGCCAACGAGCTAAGCAAAAAGGGCATCACCCCGAAGTACGCGCCCTGGAACTGGGAGACGCAATGTGGGTTGCCAGATGCAATGACCCTACTTTCCTTTCACAATACGGCGAGGAATGTAACGAGGTGATGCTGGATTGGATCGTGGAGCGAAAAAGGATGGACGATCTCCTCGGTTCTATCAAAGACGGGCGATTCCACGAACAGAAATTCCGTCTCCGTCGCTCCGGCATCAAAAACGTCATCTACCTAATCGAAGAGTTCGCCATTACCCATGATGTCGGCAGTGCCAGCGCCATGAAATATCAGGAAATGATGGCATCCGCCATCGCCTCGACGCAGGTCGTCAACGGCTACTTCGTCAAGCAGACGCGGAATCTCGATGATACAATCCGCTATCTAGCTCGGATGACGTTTCTCCTACAGAAGATGTACTGCTTTTCGCCACCAACACATACCCTCAGCCTGATCCCAAGCCGGCAATTGTCTTCCGCTCAATCCTACCTCACAGCACTTGAGCGACTTCGAGCTCGTGATCCATCAGTAACATACTCCGTCACATTCTCTACCTTCTCCGCTCTTACCTCCAAATCCGATATCCTGTCTCTCCGTGATGTTTTCCTGAAGATGCTCATGTGCACGAGGGGCGTGACAGGAGAGAAGGCCCTTGAAATCCAAAAACGATGGTCCACTCCGCGAGAGTTCATCGAAGCGTTCGAGAAACTGGACGCTAAGGGTCGAGAAGATATGGTTTTTGAGCGGACAAAGACATTGGTTGGCCGTAAGAAGATGGGCAAAGTGCTCAGTAAGAAGGTTGCCGACATTTGGGGTACAGACGGATGACCTTGCATAAAGCGGCCGTCCTACAGGTCTTTCACTCGGTGTCTGGGATAATCTCTTTTATTTCTACTATCTGCTGTAGGGCAAGCAGTCGCAATATC